TAATTATTATCAAAAGAAAACAACTCCCACCTGCCTTTGATGTGGAAAATGTATTGGATTAAAATTTTACAGTAGCTAGGTAAATTCAATAAAATATATTTTCCGGCATACTTATTAAATACGAGCATTTGTACAAAACAAAAATTATGGAGTATATATAATTTTTTTTAGATAAACTAGATAAATATACTAATAAAATTATCATCATTGCCATAGGGCAATACCAGCAGTGGGGACATTACAATTAATATTAGCACAGGCCTACCCTATGGATGGAACAGGGAGATTGGGCCATGACACCATAACACACAGGGAGAATGCGGACTGGTGGGTGCTAATGACTGCAGGTGCGGCCGGAACCAACGGATTAACGTGCCATCCGAAGCACGGAGGAGCTCAAGATAGTACATTTTTGGTCACCCATCCAATGACCGCAGCGAAAGTTGCTTAACTTCAACGATCGTAGTCGAACGCGCTAACCACTTGCGCTATCGAGGTCCATACTATACATACTTACGAGTATATATATATATACACTCCCAGACAAATCTGCCGGCCCACTTAAGTTTCATCGGTCTGTAGCAAAAATAAATGTTAGGCTGAGCAATAATAATATATTTAAAACAAAACACACACAAAATAGATGGTTATTAAATCAGCTTCAGAACTGCGTTAAACTTTTTGCTCATGTAACTTTAATTTTTGCTAGGGCCCGTCAAACCAAAATTTAAAATACTAGAAGGGCCGATAGATGTGTCTGGGAGTATATATATATATATATATATATATATATATATATATATATATATATATATATATATATATATATATATATACACAGTCAGGTTATACAGTAAGAACTATTCTTTTAGAAAGCTGGCCACAAAAAAGTTTATTGAATTCGAATTTCGAATTCAATAATATTTGTTCATGAAAATAAAAATGTATACTTTTCAGATTTTTACTCATTTTTAAATATGGAGAAGACCGTGTTACAGCTATTGCGTTGCATCGTTGCGGTTACGCGCCAATTCATATTTTGACATACTGAAAAATTTTAATATAACCAAAAGATTCATTTATCGTACCATCAAACAATACAATGAAGACTCTAGTGTAGATGACAGGTCAAGAAGTGGTCGCTCTCGGTCTGTTAGGACTCCAGCAGTGATAAAAGCTGTGAAGGCGCGAATTCAAAGAAATCCAAACGTAAGCAGAAACTGTTGGCCCTTCAGATGGGGTTAAGCAGAACCACGGTGAAAAGGGTGTTAAGTGAAGACTTAGGGCTTCGGGCATATCGATGAAAAACAGGACATCGTTTGAATGCTCGTCTAATGGACCTGAGACTGAAGAGATGCCGCGCTTTGTTGAAGCGGTACGCGGGAACAAAATATCGGGAAATTCTTTTTTCGGATGAAAAAATTTTTACCGTAGAAGAGAGCTACAACAAAGAAAATGATAAGGTGTACGCACACAGTAGTAAAGAAGCGAGCAACTGTATTCCGCGTGTCCAACGAGGTCATTTTCCATTCTCGCTCATGGTATGGTTGGGAGTTTCTTATTGGGGCTTAACAGAGGTACATTTTTGTGAGAAAAGTGAAAAAACGAATGCAGTTGTGTATCAAAATACAGTCCTGACGAACCTTGTGGAACCTGTCTCCATACCATGTTCAATAACAGGCACTGGGTATTCCAACAAGATTCGGCGCCAGCTCATAGAGCGAAGAGCACACAAGACTGAGAAAATCTGAGAGAAATCGACTTCATCCGGCACGAAGACTGGCCCTCCTCCAGTCCAGAGTTGAGTCCGTTAGATTTCAAGATATGGCAACACTTGGAGGAAAAGGCGTGCTCAAAGTCTCATCCCAATTTGGAGTCACTCAAGACATCCTTGATTAAGGCAGCCGCCGATATTGACATGGACCTCGTTCGTGCCGCGATAGACGATTGGTCGCGCAGATTGTAGGCCTGTATTCAAAATCACGGAGGTCATTTTGAATAAACTTTATTGTCATAAGAATATATGTTTTGTTAAGTTCATTTTTGGTATATAAATGGTAACAAAATGAATAAACTTGTTTTAATTATTTTATATTAAACATATGACCTGACTAGGTATATATATATCACTTTATTTATTCCTCCATTACTCTGGTATTCCATAACACAATACTTTCAGCTTGCTTTCATTGCTAACTACCTAATTGGTCTGAGTGTTAGAAATATTTATTTATGTTATTTATTATTTTTATTGTCTGCACCAAATTGAAGTCAGGCAAAAACACTTGTTTTGCAAAGAATCTTAAAAAAACGGACTTAATAATGTTCAGAATTGTCTTATGGTGACTTTTCCCGCTAGGTCCTTAAAACAACTTGTAATCAAATTTAAACCGACTACTAGCCCATCGTCTACAAGCCTACAGCTGTTTTCAAAGTTGCTTAAATCCTTTGATTAATGGCATTTGACTGAATATAATAAAGTTAACAACGGTGATTAATTAATAATTGAAACAATTGTATTTGAAGTAGTTATTTCAATTTACTGAATTCCTTACAAAGCTATTTTGTATTAGGTGATCTTATTAGCGCTATAACCACATTATTCCCTATTCGCGGATGGAACTCCTAGGTGCATGCAACTATCATGCAAATGTCAAAACTACATTACATTGTTAATATTTTTTTAGCTGTTGAGCGTTTGATATTCTATTGTGATAAATATGGTGCAATAGCGAAGTTAATAACCAAATTGTTGACTTTAAAATGAAACAATTCTAATAATACGAAATTTATTTAATTTAATTTCTGAATAATGTGGAGATCCAGAAAACATTTCTATATAATAATTATCTTAACAATAGTTTGTATACAGAGGCAAAAGCTGCAAAAGCTGATATTGAAGATCCTTAAAATAAGGTATTTTTTTACACTCTCCCGATTTTCTTATAATATGCTCCAGTGGCTTTGTGGCTATCCTCGGTATTTTCTCCACAGTAAAGCTAAACTTATCATAGTTTTCTTATTAAGTGAATGTTGCTAATTTCTATAATAAAACTACCAACGCAACTAAGGCCCACGTGCACCAAAGTTTTTTAATTAAAAAGTCGTGTTTAGGCATTATTCTATCTCTTTTAAACTGTAAAGAATTGACAAAGACGGAATGATGTATTAAACACGATTAAACCTTTATTTGAATTAAGAAATTTGATGCGAGTGGGCCTAAGTATGTTTTTGCAGTAAGTTTATCTTTTACCAGGGATAGGGAAATACAAATTACATACCTACAAGTTGGTAGAAAACCAATCTTATAAAAAATATTTTATGTTTCAAAAGTAATTATACTTAATTTTACGCCAAAAATAAAAGAGGATTATTCAATCTTCTTATGAATAAAAATATATGTAAATTAGAATCACACGAACAATAGGTATACCTAAGATACACAGACACATGAAATTTCAAAGTAGTTTTGTTACCTATTAATTAGAAGAATTTTGGTTTGATCTCAACAGTTTCAATCAATTTATTTCAAGCTTTACTCGTTACGTTAGCTTTACCCATTTAATATTTATTTGCCAAAACTCAATCAATAGAATTGAAATATAAGAAAAAAAAGGCGGGTTGCACTCCGGGAGTGCCGGCAGAAGTGAAAACTTGAATATTAATGTTGTGCATTTTTGATATTTTGGAATGGTTAGGGCATAATTTTGCACGAATTGCTTTAATTATCATTATAAAAGTGCTGTCATGTAAGTGGTAGAATACAATATTTATTTATTGCGCTATCGTATACAAACTTGACAATTTATATTACATTAAAAAAGTTTATCTCTCAGAAAAATCAACTTACGTGAATCACGTTTTAGCGCACTTAGCGACATCTATTGTAAAGAAATCAACTTACATGAATCACATTTAAGCGTACCTAGCGACATCTATTGTAAAAAAATGCATTTTCTTCGCAATAAAGCTGCCACGTGGACGTCCTAGATAGAGACTTATTATTATAATACGGTAAAATAAAATATTACTATGTTTCGTACAATATATTGAAAGTCAATATAAATAACCTATCCAATTTTATTGTGTGTCATGATGCGAACAGCCCACGTGTTTAACCTGATGCGAGTTTAACATTTTTTACCTATACAAAAAAACTGTACAACGCCGCTAAAGAAGTTTTCACTTCAAAAATGCTTTTTAGGAGCAAAAGTTATCTAGACTACTTATTATTATTAAAGTATAAAAACCGACCAAGTACGTGTCGAGCCACGCGCAGTGTAGGGTTCCGTAGTTGTTCGTTGTTACCACAATATATTTTGGAAAGAGTCTATATTTTAGGAAATTATTTCGTCTAAGTCACTTTTAATGTTTTCTTCTAAGGAATTTTTACTAGGTCAGAAAAATTCTAATACCTAACTTGAACAACTTTTACTTTAAAACTAACAATTGATATGATTTTCCTTGAAGTTCATGAAAAGCACTATATCATAAGTTTTCCAGGGTTTTCAAGCCAATAGTCTTAGGAACCGGAAGGGCAAGTCATTTTAAAGGATCTATTCATTGATAACCAATAAGATGGGGTAGACGATGAACAAATAAAATCATATCCAGGTTACATGTAAGGGAGCTACCCTAAAAAAACCTTTTTCAAAATTTTATTCTACTATTTTGTCGGCATGATTGATATACATATGTCCACAGAGTTACAGCTCTCTATCGCTAACAGTCTCCAAGCAAAACTGGGGACGGGCATGATGAAACTATAAGGGTTCCTTGTTAGAACTACGGAACCCTAAAAATAGATACACTCCATGTTCTAGAGTCTAACTATTTGAATTAAATAGTGTTGTAAACGTAAAAAAATATAAAAAAATAAGTTATTTATTTAAAGAGGATCCTGCGATACGTAGTACGAAAAAAATCATAATAGTGATTTAATAAAATAACATATTATAAATATAACTTATAAATATAGCTTTGATTAAAATTATATCCAAGTTAATTTGTTTTAATTATTTTGTAAATGCACTAAGTGTAAACACATAAGTAAAAGTGTACAATCCGTTGTTATGTATAATCAAATATCAAAAACTACAAGTAATTTTATCTTAAAATAATATTAATCCTTTCATGTATTTAATTTATCCTGGGACAGTGAAAACCACGGTGGTTAACAACAACCACTATTATTCAACAATGTAACAATCTAAATTCGTAGTGCTAGTGATATTAAAGTAACTAGGCTTTGACGATACTTACAATATATAAACCAAATTTACCAATTAATTGACGACGACCTGCGTGGCTTGAGTGGTATGTACGCCGGGTTTTCAAGGTGTGGCCTACTCAGAAGCCCAGAGTTCGAATTCCCGTAGAGCAAATGTTTATGTGATGTTTACAAGCACCTATACCTAAGTCATGAATGTTTATATGTATTACTATTTATATAGTTATATATGTATCAGTTTAATGTGTTCTATCCGTTACCCAATTATCCCATAAAAAGCACAAGCCTCAGTGCTGAGTTCGGGGCTAGGAGAATTGGTGTGTGTGTTAGAAATATTTATTAAAAAATAAATCTGAAATTTGTCAAGATTACACTCTTGACCTGAACAAATTCAAAATAAATATTCAAATAGAATAGAAAATATGACACAGGTTACTTTAGTGGTTTACTGAATGTCCAAGACTGCCCGCTATATCATATTACCCATTAACTATTCAAAAGATAAAACTAATTATAATGGCATATGTTTTGTATAAAAAGATGATCAAATAAAATTAATAAAAGAGTAAAATTGTCACAACTTTTTACACATAATAAATTATATTTACAATATAAATACATGAGTGTTTCTTGTTTCTTCATTAAAATAAAACTAGGTTTTTGATAAAAATATGTTATAAAAGCGCTCTTACACTACAGCTGTTATTAAAGTAGAGGTTTATGCAGAAATTTTATATTTTTATATAAAAACATCACAGTAAATCACAATGCAAATGAAATAAAACATGAAATTTATTTAATCATAATTTCTTTGACTACAATTCAACCGCTTCTCTGGTTGTAATACTCTCTGAATCTCTCAATTACTCGGACGATCACACTGGGATCACAGGGATTGCCGTAAGCTGAAGGGTCCGGACATCCTTGGGCTGCGAAACAATCATACGTCACTTGTGACATATGGCAGCAACTTAACACTGCGCCGTCGCAAGGACTTGGTGGAGATAGCCTCGATGTCGTGATTTGTGGTGGCGGCACCGTTGTTGTCACTGTCAGACTATTAATGTCTGCTTGAGCACTTCCATGTTCAACTGGCGGTGGAGGTCTACTCATAGTTCTGTTAGGTCTGATTGGTACGAAAGAAATCGGTCTAGCTCCGTCGTTTATATTAGCATCATTATTATCATTTGTATCAGTGTCGTTGAGCAAGAATCCCCAGTTCTGCCGCTCGTCTTCCATTTCTGGCCACCTGTTATTAACACCTGGGTTATCTGTAGTTCTATTGTTCTCTTGAGGAGGTGCAGGCGTATTGTCGGGTTGGCTCGGTACATTATTTGGTGTGCAAGCGCATCCAATCTGGGGAATGTATAAAATGGGGAAAAATGGTGGGAATTGAGGCAGTCCCTGAGGAAGCGGCGGAGGTGGTAGTTGTGGCTGCGGCTGTCTTATGTAGCCGCTAATTTCTTGCAGCCTTCTGTGAATCTGGACGTATGGATCTTCCGATCCATAAACGCCAGCATTCGGAAAGTCATTTCCTCTGTAGATGACTGGATTGATGGGAGGGAAACCGTAATAATTATACCATCGTTTCTGTCGCTGCCCTTGCATGTCAGGTTTATCGCTACCTTCGTCTAATAAAGTCTGAGGTTCAGATTCTTCAACATTCTCCACCTCCTTCTGTTCTGAAACTTCCTTCAGTACTGCTATGTCCTTCTCTTCTGCATTATCCACTTCCTTTGGTTCTGCGACTTCCAGAACTATTTCACTTGGCGCAGAACCGACCCATTGGACTAATAGGACGCCGAAGAAAATACACCGGATCAACTTCATCTGAAATAATAAAGAAAACTATATGTTATGGAGTGAAATCTGTTTTTATTAAAGATCAAACAAGTAAGACTACTATATTTTAACATCTAACGATATTTTTACTAGAAAAAAAAACAAACGTGAGAAAGTATAAGTATACAATTACACACAATACGCTACGAAACAGCTGACGGTCGTGACGGAAAAATCTTACACTTTTTTCTCCTAAGCCCCATCTACCAAGACCAAGTCCGTAAAGTGTGATGTGATGTAGCCTGCCATCTGGACTAAGTGAATTTTTATCAAATAAAATATTCATTACAGTGAAATATACCTAAAATTTGCAATAAGATTAATTATCCGTCACATGTTTTTACCACAACAGTAAAAATTAACTGACAATCTGATGACATTTTCAAGTTGACTTTAAAGAATTCATATTGAAACTGGGTCATTGCGCAATATCTGAAGAAGCGTACAATAATACAATGAATTGTGAAATCATTTCTATTACGACCTAAAAAACTTCTAAAGGTATGCTGATACAATTGGCATAAAAGACCATTTCCACACCGTCGCATACCGAAACACATTTTGATGGTGCAATAAATGAAACGGTAAGTAGGGAAAAGGTTCTCTCTAAACATAGCAGTCTGAATCTTTATCCTCTAGTGGGTTGTGGAAGCAACAAGCGACCGCCATTTTCTTTCTGATTGCTCCTGTGCTAAGTAAATCTTCCAGGCGAACGGGCAGTCTAGAGGGTTTTTATTCTTGTTTTTTACCTTTCTTGCACTATGCGATAAAGTTCAAGTGTGGAACGTTAAACATACGATGCAATAGTATAATCCTTAGAAATAATAAGATCAATTAGCAACATAGATTGACTTAAATCATCATACACCCACAAGTCTCTTTTTTGAATAATTCACTAACATAAGTTATTACATTAACTGGAAGTTAAACTAAATAATATCAATTGATGTATCGTTTTAACCCAAGGATACATCACATGACTATAATGAAAACTCGGTATTAGACTAATAATTGTTTATTTCAAAATTGTTTCATTGGGTCAATAAATGAGATCGATACTACCATGCTAGGGTATGGCCACTTCTTGCTAGTTTTTTGTTGCGAATGTCGTCTCATTGGTGTGTAACTTCATGCAATATTTGAACGAGAAATTTTGATTAATTTAGAAAATAAACGCACTATACAATTTTTCCTCGGTACCCGGCTTTAGAACAGTCTTCTTTTTAAAAAAATATATTGATAAGAGAGCTGCGTAATACCTACGTACGCTTCATTTAATTTCACTCGATCAAACCTTATGAGGTCATCGATAAACGCCAGTGATGTCATTCGACAAGTGTCTATGACCATCAATTACTCGTGATAATGCGTGATTTAGATACGCTATGTAATTAAATATCATTTCTGTGGGCTTGTCAGTTACCATATACATTTACAGCATACAAAATATGTATGATACCTACAAAAACAAATTACGTGTCAAAATGTAAATTAGCCATTTATGTATCACTCTATACGAAATTAATCCTAATGATTGCCAAAATCGAAATATTATTCAGCTAATCAACAAGACCGAAATATTGTTTTCTTCTGGCAAAGACACTCGATTGCAAATAAACTGGGCTACTTGCTACCATGGAACTCTGATTTGATTCTCAAAAAGTATAAAACTTACAACTATCAAAATTATAACTACAGAAAGTGCGTTTCGTGCTGATTAATATGAACTAGAATTTATTGAGGTTAATCAATTAATTAAAAATTTTATTTAAAAAAAGTCAAGGAAGTTGTAATTTGTTTTACCGCAAAACCTTTTATTATCAAAATAATGGGATTCACGACAGTTTTTAATCTATACTAATATTATAAAGTTTGTGAAATTGTAAGGGGTAAACTCTGTATCTACTGAACCGATTTTGAAAATTCATTTACCAATAGAAAGCCTCGTTATGATTTCAAATTAGAACAAAAACTATAGTCAACACCTAAACAAAGCGAGGGCGGGTCATTAGTATTTTACAACACAATTTTTATGTAAATAATTAATCTTACAATGAAATGACACCATTGAAATGAAAATCTCAAACCCTTGGTTTAATTTTAAGAATCTATGTTACTGCCAAAATTATAAATCGGTAAAAAAATTCTAATGCAAGAATATTGTTCCGGTTCAACGCATAAAGACCGATGTTACTTTTCAAATAACTGACTCATAACCAGTGACGCGTTTATCCACTCTCTAAGTGAAAACATGGTGCATCTACTTTACCAGTAGGTAGTTATTACTAGTTTCCCTATACTTATATAGTCGAAAAATTTATCATATCTTTTGCAGATTTATTCAATAAAAACATAAACACCGTTATTCGAATAAGGGGATAAAGTTTTATTGAAAATATTGCATATAAATATTATCAACCCGTTTTAGAATTTCTAATGTTCTGGAAAGGTGTAGTAGTGAATTGCATGTTCTTCGAATAATACGCGTTCAACCCTCTAGCTAGATAATCGGAATGGCTATCTACGAATCCAACAGACGTTCTCAAGGAGTTTCAGCGTTTTTAGGGTTCCGTGAACACTTATAGTTTCGTCATGTTCGTCTGCCCGTTCCCAGTTTTGTTTGGAGACTGTTAGCACTAGAGAGCTGTAATTTCGTGGAGATATGTACGAGTATATTGATCACATCGGCGAAATGGTAGAATAAAATTTTGGCGCGCTTATTCTTTGTAATTTTTTAGTTGATTGATAAAAGAAAAAAAATGTGTCTATAATTTTTGATAATCTAACTGACGGATTAAATATAATTAAGACGGATTAAATATATTCGTTTAGTTTATTCCATCATCACCCCTTTTAATGACAAGCTTTTATAAGCTCGAAATGACGTAAGACGCGTCGCATGCAGCAGTAGACTTGTAAATCGCAGTATAATCAAATTTGATAGTATGCAATGGGTATATTCAATTTGGCTAGTTACTAATGGAAGTAACTCTTCTCCTATCGCCATGAGAATCTGTTTTTAAAATGTGGTCTTCAAATAACTGTGTGAATAGCTAGTATACAATAGTATAAAAATATTTCACAGCCAATATCACTGACCACTGATATCTATTAAATTATTCAAATACTCAAAATACTCTACGTGATTGCGATACATGGATGACCTTTTTTTGTCGCAACACTTCTTTTGACAAAGTTTTAGTAATTATTTAGCGAAGTACGCTGAGAATTTGATTTTTGCACAGAATGTGTGAATACGTTTAACCTTTGCGGTTCGGTAGCGTGGTAGTGTAACACTATAAAAAAATCAAACTTTCAAATTATAGCATTTTTGATTACCGTTTACAATGACCTTCGCACTATAGTCACGACATAAACGTTGCTCGTGAGCCACAATGCGTGGAATGGATACTGGTCTGTCATTTTAATGGATGTTATGATCAGCCATTCATGGGAACCATGTGTATAAAATGAACTCTAGATTAGTATTTTTATTTACACCCATGCTTTAAAATCTCTATAAAATATTCTGAAATAGCTCATTCTCAACATTAAAACATCCAATGTCTTAATAACCATAATATCAACCTAACGATGATATATTGTTGTACTAAATTTCATAATAACACTCCTTTGCTTTTTCGATCCCTTCTACAAAAAGGGTTTACTCATCAGGCAGCCACAATTTTGACTACTATCTGCGTGGTATCGGTATGAATAAAAAAAAGAACATTGTCATTTACACGCGTTTCACTACCACAACGCCGAAACTTTTCATGATTTTTTGTTGGATAGAACGTCCCATGGTTTCAGAATCTGTTATAGAGGATTCATATCATGGGTGTGGATAAAGTCTTGTATGCAACTGCTTATAATTAAGTATTGAAACACACATGTGATACTTGCCAACCCACATTCGTGTTTTAGAGTATGAAGGGTACTTATTTATACAACAGTTGTATAAATAAAAGAACTATTATTAAATTTATTATAAGCATTATATATTATTATAGCTTAAGAAAATTTACTAGGAAAATTTAAAATCGGTCCAAGATGATGCAGATCAACAAAAACCTGAACCTTTGATTTTTGCGAAATCTGTTGATGAGAATTTTTCATCCATGAGGACAAAAACTTTTTTGGCCTGTCTAATAATACTGGTTTTATTCTATCTTAGTCTAGAATGCACTATCCTCTGAGAAACAATAAAATACATAGTACCTATATATCTATAAACGTCAAATTAGGTAACCTTCTTTAAAAGTATAGGGATTCTTTCATTATCGCTGGAGTTGGGTAACTTCCAAGAAGCTTAATTTTCCTGGCTTTATGTGATTTCATTTCCTTCTGGTAGGTTAAATATTATCTCAGATGATTATCACCTCTGTGAATAAAGAATTAAAGATATATCAGTATTTTTAGCTTGAAGTTGCAGCAAATATCCTTATTTATATACCCAGAAGTATTACGCTAAATTTAGTATTTAGCGTAAACATTATTTTTTTAATCTTAGTACCCAACTAGGGTTATGCCTCCTGGGCTATCTTCATTTTAATTTACTGTCTCACACCTTAAACAATTATAGCAAAGATCTCTATATCCAGAGAGACCATCCATGAACTTGTCTCCGACAGCTTGTCTTGCTACATATTCTGATATGGTTTAACTATAACCTAATTTCTCATTAGTTGTACTATGAAACCTTATGAAAACAGCTGTATTGTTATAAATTTATTTAAAAAAGTTATTATAACAATAAAAATTAAGTGTTCTTTTGCATGGCTCCTCTACGGCAATAGGATGGTACGTGGATTTTTTTAGGATCGAAGTTTGATTTGGTAGGGTATTGACCTAATACTCTTCTACGTCGTAATTCTTTATGAATTGTCAATTGATTCCCTCCGCTTCACCGGTTGTAAAAAATATTAAGGCGCGAAATGTCCGACACCTCAGGTTTTTTTACGAAATTATTATCAAAGACCGTTATC